AAATACACACTCCCCGAGGGGCTATCGGTATGGTGTTCATTCTCTTAAATTAGTTATGGTTGAAGATTTGTTTAATTCTAGAGTATCTGGTTATGGTTTTACTGTAAAATGTCTGTGTTTTCCTGCACTACAGAGGTGCTGGGCAAAAGTGGCTTTGGGAGTATTTACAACCCAGAGAGTTCTGTGTTTGTGATTTTGTTTTCTCGTTACTTAATGTTCATTTGTTTAAGACTGGATTTTTTTTTAATTAATCTCTCTTCACGTGGAATTAAGTTTTACCAGCAACGAGGAGTGGAAATGTGAAATAATAATAATGTAGTAGCACTTATCAATTGTCCATATGTATAACATGCATTTCAAGGCATGCAGATACAGGCCAGCCTGTAGACAGGAAGGCAGTGCATGTTGTTACTTGCTGTGGAGAAGTAAGAACAACTCAGGTCTCCTGTCTCCACTTGTTTTGTATCCTGTCAGCCTGTAACTGTGATTTATTCTAAAGGGGGTGGCACTGTGGGGTCTGGTTTTGCTGTCAGTTTTAAAACATCCAAGCCTGTGTAGGTCATGGACAGGTAGTGGGTTTCAGGGCAAATAGTCTTGGCAAGAAGTAATTTTTCTCTCTGAACTTCTTCCCTGTGGGCTGCAGCAATGTTACGTGCCCTGTGACCTGAATTCCAAGCCTTTGCTCCTCTTGTACTTCATGCTGACAATGAAGTTCACCCGCGTGTTGTGCTTCACCAACTCCAGGGAAGCTTCTCACAGGTGAGTAGAGAATGAGATCACTATCGTAGGTACCTGTCAAGTGTTGTTACAGAGGCAAGGAAGTGACTGTTTCCCCTTTCCCTGCAGGTTGTTCCTGCTGGTTCAAGCCTTTGGTGGAGTCACGGTTGCTGAGTTTTCTTCTCGGTTGACTCCAAGTGAGAGACAGAGAACCATAAGGGAGTTTGAACAAGGAAAAATACAACTGTGAGCATCTTAAATGTCTTTCCTGCCTAGTCTTCCTGAGAAAAACTAGGCAGAACCAAGGACACAGCTACACAGGGTCCTCTAAAACAGTGTGCAGGAGTCTGTGGCAGAATGGGTGTGAGACTTGGACTTGTGACTTTGAATTGTTTATCCTGCATGTAACTTGGCTTGTTCTAATCTAGCTGCAATCTGAATTTCTGTGTGTTATTTCATGGCAAGCAGTAAATGTAACTGTGTGTTCAGAGTTACCCAAAACACACAGGTTTGCAAGTCTGAAGTTTATTGTGTGTGCTGGGCATCTGGTGCTTGTAGGAAGGAAATGGATATTGGTGCTTGAACTATATACAGTGTTAGTGCTTCCTACCAAAGCAGTCCCTGCTCAGACTGGCGTACAGCTTTACTTCTATCCAAGTGTTTGATTTATGTTGTGATTTTGGTAGCTGTATGAGATTGTACCTGTGGAATGTCTCTGAGAAGAAGGTAAATACTGATTTTCTGGGTTTCCTTTTCATCCAAACCTCGACTACTGGAATTTCTCACCTTGCCCTCTGCATTCAGTACCTTTATGGAATGTTCAGATACCTTAGAGGTTTGTAACCTCTAGTGCACTGGGAGCTGTCAGGCTTAGTGTTCCATGCTTGGAGAACCTGGAAACACCCAGTAGTTTTTCATGCATAACAGAGGGTGATAGGCCTGTAGTGATGCTTGGAGGTCTGTGGGAAGCTAGTAATACCAGTGACAGTGAGGAGTGACTACAGTGCTCCTACCACACTCAGAGACAGGGGCTGGCTGACCAGTTTGAACAGAGATCAGCAAGAACTGTGCTGTGTTTCACTTTTGTGTATAGTACCAGAGATGTTGCCTGAAAATAACTGTATATACATTTACAACCAGGTTGATCAGCACAGATGCCACTGCACGAGGGATTGACGTTAAAGGAGTGAATTATGTAATAAATTATGATGCGCCGCAGTTCATCAGGACGTACATTCACCGGTAAGGCAGCCAGGAACAACAGGGAGATGTCTTGAGCTTGGTTTGCTTTGAAATGTTTAGCAAAGATGGCATGCACTTAAAAGGACTTCTAGTTTTTCTTTTAACTTTAATATGCAAATAGCTTTCGAATAAAAATTAAGCCCATAGCATTGCTTGGAATCAGACTTGCTTCAGTGTGAAGAGTTTCAGAATCAGACTCTTGGAGCTGATAATGGCAGTGACTAGGGGGCTCAAACTGACTTGAAGCTACTTTTTCTGTTTCCAGGGTTGGAAGAACAGCTCGTGCAGGAAAAGTAGGTGTTGCCTTCAGCTTGGTCCTTAGAATTCAGGTATGTCTTTGGTGTGGGGTTCATTTGATAAGGATGCATGCAGGGGCATGAGGAAGATAAGGTTCATACTACTCCCCATCTTTTCCAGTCAGCTGAGCTTTGTGCACAGAAACTTCAATTATTTCCTGACTAGGCAACATGTTCCAAAATGTGCTCATTTTCTAGCTGATGGGCAGTGGGGTGTCTCATCTCCTGTGTCTGTTTTGTTATGCAGGAACGTCGGTTTCTGCGGATGTTGAGGGACGCCGGCATCCGAGACATGCAGAAACACCCCATGAAGGGCAAAGCATTAAAGCCTTTGGTGCAGCAATATGAGGCAGCTCTGTGTAAGCTCGAGAAGACAGTCAAGGTAATTGAGTCAGGGAATAAAATAAAAAAATCAAAACTACAGCTTGTGCAGTTTACTGTAATTCATGCTTAGCACAAGTATTAGTGTCCAGGATCCTTTCCTCTAACTGAGACAATTCCATCTCGGTGTGAAGGCAGCATTGTGGGTGCACCATTATGGAATACTCAGAAAGGGTGGGGAGAGGAGGAAGAGGTTTTCTCTTAAAGGTTGGCAGCATCCCTGGAGGGATTTAAAAGACATGTAGACTTGGAGACATGGTGGTAGGTTTGGCAGTGCTGGGTTAATGCTTGGACTCTGTTGTCTCAAGGGTCTTTTCCAACCAAAACAACTCTATGATTTGTGGTGGTTTTTTTCTATTCTGCCTTTCTCTTTACCTCTGGAGCTGGGATTTTGGCAGCTACCCAGTGTACTGCAAATGAAAAGCAGAGATTCAACTTTTTGTCATTACAGAGTTTAGGACTGTACTGTACAGCTATGCTGACTAGAGTTGGGTATCCCAAACCAGGAAAGCATTATCTGCAGGCCCTTCTTTATACACCAATGGGAAGGTTGAGAGCTTTCAGACAAAAGCAGGGTAGCATTTACTGTGCCAGATGGGTGGACTAGGAATCCGTAATAGACCTTGTGCTGCATGATTTGGGCAAGTGTTCTGCTCTCTCATTTGAGAACTCCTGATAAATGTCTATCCTCAAAAAATTATGATTTAGAGTTCTAGACTAGGAATGTTTGAGAACTGGGGAAGAAAAGATTATTAAATTGTCCGATTGCTCCCTGAAGTCCCTTCTGTGTGACCCTGAGACAGGGACATCTTCAGTCACCTTCTCAACTTTAATTTTGAACAGAACGAGCGAGCACAGAAACGAGCCTGAAGGAATGGAAGCTGAGATGGTCGTGTTTCGTGGCACTGAAGCCCCTGAGTGGGACAGGACATGGACTGGTCCCCAGCACAGTAACGCTCAGTCGTGGTCTCAGAACAGGCCTCAGTGGTTGGCTCCTCAACCTTATCATAGCTGAAGCTGTTACTGGCCTTGTTCCTCTTTCAAGGACATTGGAAACAGAGTTCACTTACTGGTTGAAAAAAAAAGATAAAATTTGAGATACAAATATCTGGAAGAGGACTTTGCATTGTATCCTGCTGGCGTGTGTAGAGCTGCCACCAGCTCCTGAGCACGGGCCTGATGGAACTGCTGTCCTCCAACGGTGAGGGCTGGGCCCTTCTGCCCTGGAACAACTAATGGTTCTGTCTTACTGCACAAGCAGCTGTGTCTGCAAATGCATAAACACCTGTACAGTGCCTGTAGCAGAAGTGTTTGAAAAGCTGCTCTAGGCTGAAGTGACTGCAACTTTTAAATAAATACTATATATATATATTTTTAAAACAGTGTCTAATAAAAGATTCCGGGGCTCAGGAGTTCGACTTGATGATCCTTGTGGGTCCCTTCCAAGTTGGGATATTTCATGATTAGGGATGGAGATATTGTTGAAGGGATTTTTCACTGTTATAGTCTTTTGCCTTATCCTTGGCTTCCAAGAAAGGACAGAACTTTGGAAGGAACGTTGTTTCCTTCCAGCAGGTATTATTAAGTGTTAGGCTGGTGTTAATGCAGACTGAAATGTCTGATGTCTAATATGAATGTCCTGGAGCCAGGTAGTGTCACTGCAAGCCATAAATCTGTATTTGACACATGCCACTGGTATTTTTAGCTGTCCCAGCAGAGGGCTTAGAGCTGCCACGTAGCTGCAGCCTGCAACTACCCTCCATGGGTTGCTTTTCCTTCAGGAGGAAAGGCTCCAGCTCTGCCTTATTGTTGTGTAAGGCAAAATATATGTACACCAGCATCACCAAAACATTCCTGAAGCAAAATGAAGGGCTGGGAATCTTGAAGGGATGGGTGTTGGGAAGGGTGGTTGAATCTTGTGAAGATAGGACCAGTGTGGGTTTGGTTTATAGCAGTGAATCAATGTGTGTTTTCCTGTTGCGTGACTGCTCACTCTCCAGTTGTTTTTCCACAGCACGGGTGTCTTGGCTGGTGATGGAATCGCAGGAATGGAAAGTCCTCTTGTGCAAGAACTGCAAACTCCCACGGGGCAAACCCAGGATCTGCCTCTTGAGCACCCACGCCCAGTCAGCCTTGCGGTTTCCTTATCATTAAGGGATTAAGGGCAGTTATTAGGACGAGCCAGAGATCAGATGTGAGGTGGCAGAGCCCGGTTGAAACTTTGCTCCAAAAAGTGCCATCACCGCTGTCCTGTGAGCCCCCGGCCCTGCCCTGCCCCGAGCGGCCGGAGCGGGAGAGCTGCGCTCCGCCCCGGGGCGGACCCGGCGCTGCCGCCCCGCCCGGAGCGGGCGCGGTGCTGCTCACAGCCTGCATCGCACGCAGCCAAACGGGAGCGGGCGGCGGCGGCGGCAGAAGCAGCGGTGGCAGGATGGGGTTGGAGCTGTACCTGGACCTGCTCTCGCAGCCCTGCCGGGCGCTCTACATCTTCGCCCGGAGCAACAACATCCCCTTCGAGTTCAAGCGGGTGCAGCTGATGAAGGGTGAGCGGGGCCGGGGGCGGCGGGGAGGGGTCCCTCTGTCCTCCCGGTGTCCCCAGCGTTAGTCGGGGCCCAGCTGCTCCACCCGCGGGCGCCCCGCGTCCCTTCGCCGCTCCCGGGGGAGCTGCCGGATTCCAGCCCGCGGGTGGAAGCGGGTTACTCACTGTCCCCATCAGTGCCAGATGCTGCGAGAGGGCGAGGTGGCCCTCCCGCTGCAGAGGGTTCCTGGTGCCTACACAAAAACAGGACCTAATTGTCCAGTGCACCCCTGTTTTTTAAGTAGTCATCTCAGTACCTCTGTTCCTCTGCAACAAAGAGGACTCTGCAAAGACGTGTGGTGTCTTTGAAATCGGCTCCACCCCAGCAGAAAGTGAGTCTGATAAAAGAGGCTTTTCTGAGAAGCGCTCAGGATGTGCCAGGTCTGAGGGCATTCCCCGGTTAATGGGAAACAGAAATTCAGAGGTGGGACATACATGTATGGGCAAGGACAGCCGAGGTGTGCAGTTCTTGTTCCCTAATTAAACTTCTTTAAAAAGCTTTGTGCTCCAGTAAGCAGCAGCAGTTGCTACAGAGCAGCTCTTTTCCTCTTGGCAGGGGTTAACAGCCCCGTGGGAGGGTCCTCATGTATGAGGGTCCTCACTGCCCATGTGTCCCCATTGTGCAGGCAGGGCAGGGCAGGGCAGTTGGCTGTCCCTCTGGGGGTTCCATTGGGTCAGGCAGTTTGTAGCCAGGTTATTTTGAGAAGGTTGAGGGCAGACTTGTGAAGGCTGTGGAGCGAGACAATGCAGCTGCCAGTGATCTGAACACTGATAAATGAAGAAAGGAAAGTGGTTTTATTTGGGCTAAAACCAACTGATAACTGATAGGAGCCTGTCCAAGGGGTGTTGTGTGTTTTCACCAAAGGATGCCCAAAGATCTGCATCTTCTTTCTTTGTAACTGAAGCTGGTAAAAGCTGTCTTTCAACCTTTTCAGAGCTCTGCTGGATTTGAAATTAAGGTAATGTATTGAGCATAACAGTGCCTCAGTAAGTAATGCTTAAAAACAGTGAGAAGGCTTCTGGGGCTGAAATTGATAAAAGAACAAAAGAGGCTCCAAGTTGTGACTCAGATCTCAGGGGTGATGTGGTTTAGTCTCTGGGTGTTCCCCTGCACACCTTAGCTGTGCGTTGGTTGTACCTTGCTGTGGCTTTTCCTCCCACCTATTTCATAGCAAAAATTTTTGCAATTGTTTGTAACTGGGGGCAGGCTCATCTTGTGTCCTTACCCTTCTTTCCCAATAAATAAACTGTTGTGGTGCGACTGGTGCAAAGGAGATGGCAGGCAAGCAGTGAGAGCATCAAGGAGAATGGAACAACTGGAATACAGGTATCAGGGAACTGAGAGGAAGGAAAATTAATTAAGTCACAGTTTCCCAGCGCTCTGTGCCCTGTGGCATCAGTGCCTGCTTTTGGCCAGTGCATTTAAGATGGGTTATTTGGCCTATGGGAATGCTAAAAGTGCATCCCATCCCATTCCTGCAGTGCGTGCACCTCCCATACCACAGGGAAGTGCTCCAGGTACCTGCAGCTGGGTTAGCTCACCCTGGGACACAGTGTGGGAGGCCTTGCTGCACTAGTACCCATCACTGCACAGCATGTGAGGACCAGGTGAGGGAATCAATACTCAGAACTGAGCTGGTGCACTGAATGTGTCCCTTCAGAAAAGCTCCAGGGCCCCCGGTAGGGCAGGTCTCAAGGAAAGGGGTGGAAAGAGGGAGAATGGATAGAAATCACATGACATTCAAAGGACACCTGAGAGGACCTGGAATCTTCACACTTCATCTTTTTGAAAGGGGGTGGGAGAGATGGGCTGCGAGCCAAGTGACGGGGGAATAGTCACAAATCAGGTTTGCCAGGTACTGGGAAAGCTAAAATCACTTCCAGAACATCTCCTCTGGCACACAGATTCTCAGGTGACTCACATAGCAGGAGATAGCACAAGGTTAGTTACACATTAGAGAGGCTCGAATACACAGGTACACATGTGTGACTGAAGCCAGTGGTTGGAAAAGGCCGGCACAAACAAGTCACATAAAACAAGGCTTCTGGGACTGGGTTCAGACACAACAGAGCATGTTGAGACCTCAAATGAACAAAGCACCTTCTCCTGTCAGATTCACTCTGCCTGCCTTTCAGGGGGGACCTACAAGATAGCTTAAAAGCAACAAATCCATATTTTCTCTGACAAAAGATATGACAAAATGCACAGGAGCTGACTGTAATGAAGTACCATCTTTATATGGAATCACAGAAATTTATTTTCATCTGAGGACTAAAAAGTTGAATATAAATTACATTATCATCCAGGAAAAAAAAAATAAACTGCTTTCTCACTGTCCATGTTGGTGATGTTTCTGATAGTGAGATCCCTTTCCTCTAAGGCACTCAGTGCTCACTCTGGGTGTGTACAGGACAGGTACCTCTAGGCACAAACTTGGAGCTGATAGAGCCCTGAGTAGACAAGCACTGTTGGTATGAAAGGACTCCTAGCCATTCTGCCTGTGGTCAAGAGGTGGGTCTGGTATGCAGACAATAAGCAAGTAAGCTGATGCCATAGGGCAACCCCCCTATCCACCCTGCAGCACTTATTGATTGGTTATAAGCTTGATACAAGACTGTATTTGTACAATCAAAACCTGGAACTTGAGGCCAAATGGTCCCCACAAGCGTTGCAGACAAGACCTGACTATCCCTGCCAAGTAAAACTTCTCATTTCCCTCCTCAGGGCAGCACAAGACGGAGGAGTTCCGGAAGGTGAATGTCCTGATGAAGGTGCCTGCACTAAGGGATGGTTCTTTCACCTTAGCAGAGAGGTGAGGCTCAAATAAGCTCAACCCCTACCTGCAGTATTGTTTACCCAAAGCTTGGATTCTGCCAGGGCACTGCTGGGACTCCAGCCCAGGAAGTTTTTTTCTTCCTTCCTGTCAGTTCCACTTGTACACAACAAACCTACGTTTCAAGAGAATCCTTCTAATGTAAACAACTCAAACAGCATTGATAGTGCAGAGATCAGTGGGCTGCTGCTCGGAGCTACCTTGCATGTAGGCAGTGTTTCCAAGCTTAAATACCTGTCCACGTGTCCTCCTGCTCTCTGCCTGCAGCTGGAGGCTGAGGGTCAGTGCAGGAAATCTGACATAAGGCTGCTGAATGGCCAGGCACTGTGAAGGTCAGCTTTGGTATAAACTCATTCTGCAGCTCCTATTTGCTCAACAGTGTTGATGGGTAACTGTGCCAGCAGGCCACGTCTGTCTCGCTGGGCGGATGTATCAGATAATTGCTGCCCACAAGCAGCTGGTTGAGCCAGCACAAACTCTCTCCTGTGCTGTGCCTTGCTGGCAGTTCCGTGTCCTGCACTTCTACCTGACTTGGATCAGGTTTGTGTTGCTGCTTGTCCAGCAGTGCACAATTTGGGGGGAGAAGAAAGGACGAGGTGCTTTACTCTCAGGTGATCAGCTCACTGGTCTGTCTCGCTCTTTGGGCAGCATTGCAATCCTCCTGTACCTCGCCCAGAAATTCAAGACTCCTGATCACTGGTACCCATCTGACCTGCAGAAAAGGGCGAGGGTTGATGAGTACCTGTCATGGCAGCACGCCAACATCCGTGCGAAGGGGAGCAAGGTGTTCTTATCGAAGGTGAGACCATCATATACCAAAAATTAAGTGCTAAGAGCTGTGAGTGCAATGGCCCACCTGTGTGCAGGGCCTTCCCAAGCAAATGTACAAGTCAGGTGACAAACTGGAACAAAACTAGATCTGGAACTGACTTGGCTGCTCAGCTGAGCCTGACTGAAGTGGCCCGAATCCCTCATGGTGCAGCCACTGCTCTGTGAGACCCAGAGCAAGCTCATCCTGGGTGAGCAGCTCTCACCAGACACAGCTCAGCGCCTGCTGCTCGGCTTCATGGAAAGAACCAACCTCCTACTGGAAAACAACACACAGTTGCTGGCAGATGATGCAGTCTTCCTTTGAGAGGAGATTCTTGTGGTTGAAATTTCAGATTTCTAGGGAGGAGACAAGGAGAGGCAGGAAGTAGTGACTGACATTAATGTTGACCTGGCAAGGGAGATGAGCAGTTCCAGTTGTTCTCTTGCCTGGCTGGTGAGGGATCCTCAGAGGGGGGCAAAGAGAGGGTGATGACCAGGTTTGGAAGGAATCACTTAAAGAGCAACTTGTTTCTTCTCTCTGCCAGGTGCTGCTGCCTATCCTCACAGGCCAGCCGCTTTCTGCAGAGAAACTGGAATTTCTTATTGAGGACCTCAACGTTGTCCTAAAGCAGTTTGAAGAGAAGTTCTTGCAGGACAAGCCCTTCATTGCAGGCAGCGAGATCTCCCTGGCAGACCTCGTAGCACTGGTGGAGCTCATGCAGGTGAGCATCAACCTGCTGCTGGGTATGTGGGTTGGGCTGTGGGCAGGCCAGGCCAAGGGGTGGCTGCTGCACCACCGCCTTGGTAATGGCAGAGCTCCCTGCAGTTAACCCTTCCATGGGGTTAAGTCTTGTTCCTTTTTGACTTTGACCCTAATTAAGTTTGCCAGGGAACACCTACTGTGATGACACAGTTCTTTCTACAGAAATATGGTCAAATATGGTCAAAGAAGATAAATTACAAACTAGGCAGAGAAAGTAAAGATATTTGGAAGAGACGTGCTGGTGTGCATGTTCTGTGTTAGACAGTTCTGGGGTTAGCCATGGCAGAGCTGTTTGCTGCATGTCCCAGGGGACAGCAGCTGCTGAGGATGTCACAACTTGCTTCCTATGAGCTAAGAACCAGAGATGAGCTCCACCCAGTGTGATGACTGACTGCTGCCTTGAGTCAAAAGCCTATCGGTCCTTCCTTTGGTCCCATCCCTAGTAAATGCCTTGTTTAACTCACTCCCAGGTGCTCTCTCTCCCTGCAGCCTGTAGGTGCTGGCTACAACCTCTTTGAGGAGAGGCCGAAGTTGGCGGAGTGGCGCAGGCGGGTGGAAGAAGCTGTGGGGAAGGAGCTCTTCCAGGAAGCCCATGAAGGGATCATGAACATTAAGAACTTAACTGCTGATCAGTTTGCACCTGAACTGCTGGAGAGTTTCAAGCAGCAGCTCCTAAAGCAGGTCAGCCAGAATTAGAGGATTATGCTCTAATAAAATAGATTATTTTATGAAGGCTTATTGCAGTCTTTCACATTTCTTCTAAAAATCATACAGAAACACTATTCCACAAAATGCACTTGCCTTTACTCGCAGCCTTTCTGCAACTTAGAAAGGAAGAAAAATACATTTTAAACTGCTATGAGCTGCTTTCTCCTCTTGTGCACTGCAGCATGGGAGCTGTAGCCCTGAAGGCTTTTCTTTCATGTTCCAGCACCACTGGATCTGCTTGAGGACTGAGGTGATTCAGTCTGTGTGGAAACGGGGGCCAGTCAGAGCTGCCTTCTCCATCTCTGTTCACAGAGTTTTCCAGACAAGAGCAAAGGTTTCCTGAGGGTATGGTGGAACAGATGTACCTGAAACAAGGAAAAATAATTGTACCAGATGGTTTTCACTCTGCAAAGTGAGAGCACTCTGCTGGAACATTTTTGCTCTTTAGGAAAGAGGCAGTTCAGGACCCAGTCCCTGCTGGGGACACTGCCAGGGCTCTTGGAGCACCTGGCCGCTAGATGCTGCTGCATCATCTGTGGGACCACAGACTCGTATCACACTCTACAAAGAACACCCTGCACAGTGGTGAAAAGCTGCTTTTCTTGGTCAAGCTGCTGCCAACCACACAGTCCCCACTGTAAACCACACCAGTGCTCGCTCTGTTTTCCCACAGTGGCTTTGTCAGCTCAACAGAAGCCACTTAGGCCAGGCTGTGTGCACTGACAGGGGCTGTGGTGGCTGGGCCAGCACTGAGGGCAGTGGGAGCTGTGCTGGCCAGCCATGGGTGAGCAGAGCATTCAGTAGGAGAGCTGAGTAATGCCCCAAATACAGTTAATGTTCCACTACTCTTTTGTCTCATCAGGTCCTCTAGTAAGGTTAATGGTTACATTTGCCAAGTGTTGTAGCTCTGTTTGGATTTGTAAACAGGATTTGGAAGGAAGTGGACATTGAGTCATCCTGCACACCTGTGCAGCATCCTTTACAACCTCTTGCCTGTGCCCCTTCGTGTCCCTCCTGCCTTCCTGTCCTCCTGTCCTGTGACCTTCCATTTCCAGGTACAGGCTTCCGCAAGGAGGGTTCCAGTTTGCAGAACTGTTTTTTCCCACCTCCTGGTTCAGCTCTGGCTGTATCTGGAAGTCTGTCTGTGCTGGCTGGTTACACTATTCACAGAGACAGCCCTGTAGAATGCTGGGGGTGAGATGTCAGCCATCTGAATGCAAGTCATGACAGTGCTCAGAAAAGGTGCAATTAGCTGCTCAAACAATCTCACGCATGTTTTCAGTTGGACCTACTGTTTTTGGGGAATGAGCCAGCTCCCTCTTCTGTGTTTGTCTCCTGAGTAAACTTGCCCTTTAGTTCAAAAGGGCACGTGAACTACAGCTTGCAACACACATGCCTGTGAGCTGAGCTATAGCAGCCAAGCAGGCCGGTCCCTTTACCTTCCGTTCCTCCAGCCTACGGGAAATCCTAAATGTGAGTGGTGAAAAGTCAGCTTTTCCCCCAAACTTTTTCAGTTTCAGTGCTGACACATGCAGGGATATTTGTCTTCTGACCTGATTTTTTATGGGTAGGTTTGTTGAGAAGAGCCTGTTGCGTGCCAATGAGTAAAGTCAATGACAGGAGCTCTCTTCTTGCCCCAAGGGTGCCTAAGCAGCAACCCCTGACGATGCTGCCCCACTGCTCAAGTTGCCAGCAGTGCTGAGCCTCAAGAGAACGGCCTGTTTACGTTGTACCACCAACCACTTCCTTCCCTCTGTAACCTGCAGCTTTACCACAATCACCAGCTGGGCTGCTGTGCACCCTGCAATCAAAGAGGTGCCTTCGCTGCCTCACCAAGGCTGCCCAGCCTCACTGCACTCTGCTGTTGGCACCTTTGTACTTACCCTAACTTCGAGATTCCTGACTTCCAACTTTTCCCTTTCTTGTAGAGAGCAAACTTCCTACCAGCACAGTAAATGTCTCCCACAGCTTCTGCACAAGTAGAATCAGAGCAGAGAAATAATCAAAACCAAGAGCCTATTCTGCAGAGTGCTAACCTCAACAAACCTCAGACCAGGCTTGGGAGCGGAGCCTTTCCTGACACACATCTCCCTGCAGAATCTCCAGACAGGGCTGCTCTGCACGCAAACCATTGCATGAGTCAAGGTAAATAAAGTGTCTTTCTTTTCATTTTCTAATTTATGATACTTGTAGCACAAGAGCTCCATGTAAGAGTCTTGAGCCAATTTTCTGCTTGTTGGAATAAAGCACAAGTTCCTTAAATGTCACCCATCGTGTGCTCCTGCAAGGACGGCTGCCTTCAAAACCAAGCCTGAACTATGTTCAGAGCAGGCTCTCTGGTGCTCCTCCACCGCTGTGTCACAAAGGATAAGCACACTCGCCTCACTCCAGCCTGGTCATGGTGACAGGAAGAGATTTTAAATTGTTTTACCCATAGTCTCTGGTCTGTTGCATGTTCATGGTGCAGTGACCAGTGGTATTTTGGGCCCTTCTATGCACATAGGACAAAGCACCTCCCTAGAGCAACTCTTTGGATGGTCACAGAGTTGTACAACAGATGCCTTGTTTTTTGCTCTAAATAGTGGAGAAAAGGCAACTCATCCTTGTACTTTGCCTTTTGCTATCCCTACACCTCTGCATTTTGTGTCATTTGATCTTGTCACGTTCCAGTTCCTAGACTGAAAGCCCTGAGAGCTGCCTGCCAAAACCCAACAGGTTGTGCAAGAGTTTTGCCTGCCTTGGTGCAAGGTCTGTTGTTGAGTGTCCACTCCCCTTTCACCCTGAAAAGTGAGAGGGTCACACCTGCAGTGTCAGTTTAACATGCTGTTCGATTCAATTTGCTCAATTCTTGCCAGAGGCTATTTGGAAATAGGTGAGAGCCTGTGACTTTTAGAATAAAATGAAGCTGGGATACACAAAATGGGAGGAATAGTTAAAAAGCAGATCCACATCCTGAGACCTTTTCTGAATTACTAAGAAATAAATTGCAGAACTTAATGCGTTTTTTTCTGTCTTGTTCCTGTTCCCAAAAAGCTGACAGAGAAAATAAGGGCAGGAAAAATGGCCTTTGAGGTGATGAAGTTAAGTGAAAATACAGTGCTAGAAGCACAAGCCTGGAGCCAGGAATAATCAGTCAAATGGCCTATAACACAACCAGATAAAAATACCTCTTGGGTTGTGTGGGCTGTGCAGTGCAGTCAGCAAATTGGAGAAAAACTTAAGGAAGGAACATTTCCAGGAGGCACATGAAAAGATCTTTGAAGTCCAGATAGGACTAAGAGATCAACTGAACCATAAAGAAAGGAGCAAAGCGAACCCACACTGCTAAGGTTGCTGCACACCACTGAGATCAACAAACTCCTCATAGGGATATCTCAGAGTAGGGACATGCAACCACTCTGAAGCACAAAGACTTCTCAGACTATTACCTGTGCAGAGCCACTTTCAGGCTCCTTTTCCCCACTCCCTTAACATTTAAGATTCCTTTGTACTGAAGGAGTTTGAACTCAAGCACCTACCACAACACCTTGATCTCCAGCATATCGGTGCTGGTGCAGGTGCTCTAGAGGGTAAACTGTGCGTGCAGGGGAACTGGAGGGTGTACACAGCCCCTTTCCCTGTTCTGGCTGAGAAACTGAAAAACTCTTATGGTGTGGTTCTAAATCTGAAAGTTCTAAACCCCTGAAAGTGTTCCAGTTCGTAATTTACCCAGAGCTCCCAGCTCAGTAGCTGAGCCTTCTCACCACCCTTGGTAACGATCCTCTCTACGAGAAAAAAAAGCAACTGATCTTCCAGTTCCCTCTCCCTGAGGTTCACATAGCCCTTTCCAAAGATTTGTGCAACACACAGGCTCTGTAGCACAACACTGATAAAAAGGTGTCAGCTGAGCCGAGGTGGGTTTGACTGGAGGTGACTTTGCTCTAAGTGGTTCAGCTGCTCTATCTCCCAGAGTCCCAGAAGTCCCTGTACTCAGCCAGCACGTCACCTTCCCTGAATCACACAGCTGTGAAACGCTGCAGGCCCAGTGCAAGGGCTTGAATTGAATCTAAGCCTCTTTAGTTCTCCTCCACTTGTGTGGAAATCTGAAGTGACAAATACCAGGGAGAGCAGAAAGTCACTTTGAGTAAGTATGCAGATGTAATGCCTGCAGAGAAGTCCTCCACGCTTCACTGCCATTCAGGTGTCACCTCGCAGGACTGGGCAGAGACTACATGACCAAAGAATTATGTTCTGAACTGAAAACCATCCTGAGATCTGGTGGTGTGAGATTAATGCTGGCTTAGAGCATGTTGTGCAAAGGCCTTGTCTGCAGAGTGGCACATCCCTGCAGAGCTGTGTTACCAGAACAAGCATTTACCTTCTAAGAGCCATGGTGGGATGCTGAGGGTGAGAGAAGCTCCCGAACCCCTTTGGTGCCAGCCAAGGCTGCAGAGGGGAATGACAACCCCTGCTCTCTCAGAGCTTAGTGCCAACCTCTCTTTTGAGGCAACTGACCGTTACTCGCAGTTTATCTCTCACGTTACCTTCCTTTCCTGAAGGAAAATGAATAGGCACGGTGTCAGCCCCCGCGGGCCAGGGCCGCCTGACGGCAGAATAGGGAATTCTGTGCCCTCTGCCCAAATTCCAGCCGCGCCTTCCCGCCCCTGCCACGGTCGAGAGGACTCTCCTGGGCTTCTCCGGGATTATCCAGACCGCACCCTGCAGGAAGCTGGCGCCCCGCGGTCCCTCCACGGCTCACACCCCGCTCCCTCCGGCTCCGTGCCCCGCACAGCCACCGCCCCCCGCCCGGCGCGGCCCGGGGAAGGGAGGAGGGGAGGGACGGAGGGCAGCTCCTGCCCGGCGCGGCTCGGCCCCCGCCGGCCCATGCGGGGCGGCTCCGGGCGGCCCCCGGCAGAGCCGCGGCAGCTCCGCGCGGGGCGGGCCGGGTCGGGATGGGGCTGGAGCTGTACCTGGACCTGCTCTCGCAGCCCTGCCGCTCCATCTACATCTTCGCCCGGAGCAACAACATCCCCTTCGAGTTCAAGCACGTGGAGCTGTTCAAAGGTGGGACGGGCGCGCTGCCCCGAGGCAGAGCGGGGCCGGGGCGGGCGCAGCCCGGCGGGGCGGCGGGCTCAGCCCCTCTCTTGGCTCTTGGCAGACTCGGTGCTGGGGAAGAGGCCGGCGGCGGGGAGCGGCGCGGAGCAGCCCCGCGCAGGTGAGAACAGGGCAGGGGACGGGAAGGTCCCCGCGGCGGGCACCGAGCCTGTCCCCGGGCGGGGAGGGGCCGGACGAGCCGCGCTCCGGGCGATCTCCGGGCGGGGGCCGGGCTGAGCCCTCCTGTGCGGGCCCGGACCTGCGGCGGGTTTGCTCTCCCGGCCCCCGGGGGAGCCCCTTCGCCTCTCGGCAGAGGAGCAGCAGGGCGTCCTTCGGCCTGGCGGGAGGGAAGGACGAGCTCCCGGGGTCACCCGAGTGATGCTGAAAACGTGCGCTGCCCAGGGGCATTGAACGCAGTGGTTTGACCGTGCGGCTCCTGTTCCCAGAGCGGTCTCGTAGATCCTCTGCATCTATTTTTGTGGATCACCAA